TGAATGGATGAGTGGATAGGCTGGCTGGCTGGGTGGATGGATAGATGAAGTCTCCTAAGTACCAGGCCCCAGTGGGGACATAGAGGTGAATAAAATGCTATCTCTTTACTCAAGGAGTTCACTGGGAAGTGAGAGAGGTCTTGTAGTCAGGTAGAGTAGATGTTCTGGGGGAAGAAAGAAGCACATGTAGGGGAGAAAGGAGGGAGGGATCCATTTTTACTAGTGGATAATCAGGAAATGTTCTGTAAGGAAGTGACCTACTGACTGAGTCATGAAGGATAAATGGCAATTAGTTAGGTGATCAGTGAATTTAAGAACCTTCCCTGGAGTCCAGGAAAAGGCAGAGAGGCCGAGCAGAGTCCTACACTGCCTGGAAACCGCGGCTGTTTGGTGTGGTGGAATGTGATGAAAGGTCTTGGGCCGTTCGCTGCTGCAGAGCCAGCGTTTCCCCTCTAGTACTCTGTTGCTGCATTGATGATAGCACTCAAGACTCATTGGTTCAAGAGGGAACTAAGGAGAGCATGGAGAAGAAAGTCTGGCGTGGTTGACCAGAGCTAGGTAAGGCTAGACTAAGGACTCTGGACCTCAGCCAGAGGACAATGGGAAGTCACAGAAGCTCACCCTGCGGCAGCACAGAAATGGGCCAGGGCAAGTCCAGACTAAGCAGAAGATGCTCAGGACTGGACTCTGGGAAGCTGGTTATATGAGGAGGTCAGGAGAGAGCCCGGGGATCTGAGGAAGAGAGATGTGGTGGGACGGTATCCCTGATTCCGCACGGATGAGGAAGGGCTGCGGGAGGGAGCTGAAGGAGAGGAAGGCCCCCGGGGCTCCAGCGAGAGGGACTAGACGCTAGTCGCGGAGACACACAGGGTACAGAGGATGGAGGTTCGCCATGAGGCTAACGAAGTTATGGGTGGGGATCCTTCACTTTCATGGGCCACTTTGAAGACCCTGAACCTGATTTTGCCTTCACTATTTTCCTTCATTATTCTTAAATAGCCCCTCTTTGCCCAATTATAGAAGCTTCAGGCCCCCCAAGCATGGATCCTTTTCTGGAAATATAGAGAGAAGAATTTTGGGAAAATGATTGTAAGTTCCATTTGGGGCGTGTTGAGTTTGAGGCGGATGCAGAGTTTCCAGGTGGAGCTGTTCTGCCAGCAGCGTGGTGTGGTGGGCAGAGTGTGGGTCAGGGTTAAATACTGGCTTCAAGCTGTGTGAACTGGAGCAAGTGGTTTGATCTCTCTGCACTTGTCAAAATGGGATTAATTGCCATTTTAATTAATAAATAATATCTATAATATTATTATTAATGTAACAATTAATTATTAATACCACCTTCCTAGGGTGGTTGTAAAGATCAGATGAGACAACATACAGAAAGTTCTTAAAAAGTGCCTAGCATGTAGTAGGTCCTCAAAACAAGTTACTGACCAGCTCTTGGCATCACGTGGCTGACTGGTGTTATGGTTCAGATCTGGGAGTCATCAGAGTAATGGAGGCCTTGGAAGGGGGTGAATCACGCAGGAAGAGTGTGCAGGCCTGATAAGAAGGCCGAGGACTGAGCTTTGGTATTTATCAGGGTGACCAGAGGAAGAGGAACCAGCAAGAAAGGCTGACAAGGCTCAGCCACAGGGGTGGGAGGAGAGAGTGAGTTCTGGAAGCCGGAAGAGGGGAGAATGTCCAGCAGGTACTTGGTCACGAGTGTCCCCTGCTGCTGGGAGTTGAGACTGCTGGTGTGGGCTTTGGGAAGTCACCGGGGAGCTTGACAGGTGGCTCAGTGCAGAGCTGGACTCTGAGGAGTGAGCGTGTGTGCAGACAGCAAGTGTAGACTGTCCTCGGGGGAGTCTTGGCCATGGGAAGAAGAGGCAGAGACTGAGAACTTTGTGCTGCTTGATTTGTTTTGCTTCTGGAGGACATGGGTTTCTTAAACATAGAATTCACAGGCTCTTGGGAAGAGTTGGTGCAGAAGATTAGAAGACTTCGGAAAGCAATAAAAATTGATGGAAAAATGTGAATGTCCGGGAAGAATTAGGAAGGAGAGGGTCAAGGACAGGTGAGGAGTGAGCTTTGAGTAGCTCTGAGTCTGGAAGGAAGGGGCAAAGGTGGGAAGGTTATAAGTAACTATGGAGGAAGGAGCACAGGAAGTGGGGGTTATGCCTGATAGCCTCAGTTTCTTTCTGTCAAGTACGACAATAGGTCATCTGCAGAAATATATAAATATAGAGCATTTCTACAACTGCGGGACGTTTAAGAGAAATTATGATTAAGAAACAAAATCTCAAGGGGAAAACCAGAGTTGCGGGAACCAAAGTTGATGGTGAAGTTATTAATATCCTTACAAATTATTTTACATTGAATAATATAAAGCAATAAACACAGCATACCAAGTCCGGACAAACTCGGAGGCAATTTGCACGTCTTTATTAGTGCCACACAGTTCATTTTAATTTACAGTCCTTTGTTTGCTTGCTAACTGCTTGAGCCAGCGCTCTCCCCACTCTGTAGTTTAACAAAATGCTTACCAATTAGTTTTTTAAACTATGAATAATTTCAAACATGCAACAAAGTTGAGAATTTTACAGTGCACACCAATACGTCCACCACCTGGGTTCTGCCATTAACATTTTACTAAGTTTGTTTATTTAAATAGACTTTTAATTTTAGAATAGTTTTAGAATAACAGAAAAATTGTGAGGAGAGAGCAGAGTCCCATGAACCCAGTTTCCTTTAATATTAATATCATACGTTAGTAAAGCACATTTGTCACAATTAGTGAACTAATATTGATGCATTATTATTATTAGCTAAAGTTGGCACTTTTTCCAGATGTCCTTATTTTTTAATCCCATCCAGGATTCCACATTTCATTTTACTGTCCTTCCTCTTTAGGCTTCTTTTGGCTGTGACGTTTTCTTAGACTTCCCATGTTTTTGATGATCTGGATAGTTTGAGAAATAATGGTCAGCTATTTTGTAGAATGTCCCTCAATTGGGATTTGTCTGATGATTTTCTTTTCTTTTTAAAAAATCATTTATAATTTATTTTTTCCAGCTTTATTGAGATATAAATGACCTATGATATTGTGTAAGTTTAAGGTGCACATGATGATTTGATACACTTATATACTGTGAAATGATTATCACAATTGTGTAAATTAACACTTCTATTACCTCACATATTTATCATTTAAGATCTACTCTCTTAGCAACTTTTCAATTATATGATACAGTATTGTTAACTATTATCACCATGCTGTGCTTTAGATCTCTAGAACTTACTGATTTTATAGCTGGAAGATTATACCCTCTGAGCAGTATCTTCCCATTTACCCTAATCCCTGGCAACTGCCATTTTAGTCTCTGTTTCTATGAGTTTGGCTTTTGCAGAATTCACATGTAAGTGAAATCATACAGTATGTGTCTTTCTCTGACTTAATTTCACTTAGCATAATGCCCACTAGTTCCATTCATGTTGTCACAAATGGCAGGATTTCCTCCTTTCTCGAGGCTGAGTAACATTCCATTGTATCTATATACCACATCTTCTTTATCCATTCATCTGCAGACAGACACTAGGTTGTTTCCATATCTTGCCTATTGTGAATACCATGGTTTTCTCATGATTAGATTGGGCAATGAGTTTCTGGAAGAAAGACCAGAGGCAAAATGCCATTCATGTCACGTCATATTAAGTGACACACTATCAACATGTCCTATCACCACTGATGATGGTCTTGGCCACCTAGTTTAGGTAGAGTTTGTCATGTTTCTCTGCTGTAAAGTTCTTCTTTTTCCTTCCTTTCCACATGTACTTGGAAGGAAGTCACCATGTTCAACCCACACATAGTGGGGAGTTCTGTTCCACCTCCTTGAGGGCCTAAATCTATTTTTATTATATCTTTACCTACCAATATATATCTAGCCATTCCTTTAGCTATCCATCAATCCACATTTTTTATACATCTCAAAATAAATTTGCAAATTTATTTCATTTTACGGCAGGTGACACACCTATGAAGGAATGTTGTTTCTGTGCTTTGTCTGGTCCTCATCTCAAATGTCGACTGTATACACCTTCTGGGTTCTGTTTTCTGGGCCCAACTGGGGTCCCCAAATCACAAAACACTCTCAGTCATGGAAAGGCAATAAACATGAGCTGTCCAATCTATTGGTTTGTATACTGAATAGGCATTTCTCTAGGCCCCTTGCCAGTGTCCAGGATTATAGTTCTTGGCTCTGCCATGGCAACATCTCACCCAGCACACATGACCAGTGCCCCACACACTCACTGCCTGAAGGCCAGCTTCTCTGGCCTGTTTCTCCATCTTTTCTAGGGCTTCAGTGCAATAAACAAAGAGAAATAAGTAAGAAGAAGAAATAAACCTCCATTCTTCCTATTCCTCTTCCTCTGCTGACCTGTCTCCACTCTCATCTCCCAGTTCCCTCTTTTGCTAATTATCCCCATAATGAGGGACATTAGATTCACATAATGAAACCGAAATTCTCCATTTCCCAATATATGTGCATAGACTTGCATTTCACATAAACTGAATTGGAGTTGAAGACAGATAGGTCATGTTTTATGAGGCATATACAAAGTAACAGAACTACTATATATTTTTCTTATATGCCAAATAAATATTTTGTGCCAATGTGCAAATAGCTGCATGGGTATAGCCAATGGGAAGAATAATTGAAACCTTTTGGATTTGATATGAATCTGGCAAACTCTTTAGAAGCTTTAGAAACTACTGTAGAAGCTTTTCTTTCAGTCATTGGAGTGCTTCTTTGTTGATATTCATCACACTTTGTCATTTTTTCTCCATTTTTCGTATACATCATGTTATATTTTCCATGCTTACTGGATGTGTGCTGGTCAGAACAACCCCTAGTGACTGGCTGGTTGGCTGAGTGCCTGGATGATGAATGTAAGTTCTAAATGTTTTATAAGAAATGTGTAATCTTCTGCCTGTACCATTTAGTCTTCCTTCCTCCGTTCAGCAGTATTAGCAGCGATGGCTGACCACCTTCAAAGTGTACAGGCACGCCTTGGAGCTACAGAGGGTTGACTTCCAGACAACTACAATAAAGTGAGTATCACAGTAAAGCAAGTGAAATGAATTTGTTGATTTCCCAGAGCATGCAATACTGTACGGTGGTCTGTGAAGTGTACTGTAGCCTATGTCTAAGAAAACAATGTACATGTACATACCTTATTTAAAAACCACTTCGTTTCTAAAAAGTGCTAACCAGCATCTAAACTTTCAGCCAGTTGTAGTCACCAATCACAGATCACCATAACAAATATAGTAACAATAAAAAAGTTTGAAATATTGCAGGAATTACCAAAATGGGACCTACAGACACCAAGTGAGCAAACGCTATTGGAAAAATGGCTCAATACATGGTTGCCACAAACCTTCAATTTGTAAACAATGCAGTATCTGTGAAGCATAGTAAAATGAAGGATGTCTGTACTGTTACTTTTGGGATTTTAAGTTTTGCTTTTAAAAGCAACACACAATTACTCTTTTGTGTGTACAGTTCTGTGAATTTTAATATCTAGATATGTATAACCACCACCACAATCAGGATACAGAACAGGTTCTAACACCCCCAAAACTCCCTTTTGCTATCCCTCTGTAGCCATGCCCTCTCCCAGTCCCTAGTAATCACCGATGAGTTCTCTATCACTGTAGTTTTGTCTTTTAGAGTATGTCATAAATATAGAATCTCATAGTATGTAATCTTTGGGGATTGACTTCTTTCCCTCAGAGTAATAGGCTTTGAGATTCTTCCAAGTTGCTGAGTGTTTCAGTAGTTTATTCATTTTTATTACAGAGAAGCATTTCATGGAATAGATGTACCACCATGTGTTCATCCATTTACCAGGTGAAAGACATTTAGCTTATTTACATTTCTTGGCAAATATGACTGGGACTGCCATAAACGTTCATGTGCAAGTCTGGGTAAAGGTAAGTTTTCATTTCTCTAGGGTATTTACCTAAGATGGGAATGCTAGTTCATATGATAAGTGAATATTTAACTTGATCTGAAACTACCAAAGTGTGATCCACAGTGGCTGTATCACTGCATTCTCACCAACAACGGATGCGAATTCCAGTTGCTTTGCTGTACAGTTCCTGACTGTGGAGTGGCCTTTGGAGCTGGGACTTGGCTTTACTCCACGCCAGAACACTGACGAGGGTCTCCAGGACGGAAGCCGGCCCTCGCGTCACCTCCGCACAGGAGAGTGCTCCATGGACTTCCTTCTCCAGCCCCATGAATGTATGAGTTCTTCTAGAGTCACAGTGCACTCCCTCCACTGGGTGACCTCTCCCGCACCCCTGCACAGGCTTTGCGTTTTGATCTGTATTGTTTGGCTGCCACTGTTTGAGCCTTTCTCTGTGTAAAGTGCTCTGCTCAGCACTGCCTTATTCTTAATTACTATTGTTAAACGCTTCAAGCATTATATAAGCACCTTCTTATTCTTAATTATTATTAAATATTTCAAACACAACACATGATAATAGTATCCCAATGTACTCCTTAACTCCAATTTGATAAATCAGTATTCGTCCCCTTGTCCTTCAGATCCATTTGTTTTGACAATTAAAACTTTAAAATATGTTGGAGTCCTTCCCTCCCCACTCCCGTTTCTCTCCTTCTCTTCTTAGAAATAATTGCTTGCCAAACATTGGTAGGCAATCTCCTCCCATATTTTTATACATTTACTAAAAGAATCATATACAGTACTATTTGCTTAAGCTCTTTTCCTTTTTCTATGATAAACACAACATGAAACTATCCCTTAACAGTTTGAAAGTGTATAGTAAAGTGATGTTATCCGCATGCACTTTGCTACACAGCTGCCCTCCGGAATGTTTTCATCTTGCACGACTGACACTCTAGACCCACGGAACAGTAACTCCCATTTCCCCCTTCCCAGTCCCCGGCAACCACTTTTTACTTTCTGTTTCTGACTATTTTAAATACCTCATGTAAGTGAGATAATGCAGTATTCATCCTTCTGTGACTGGCTTACTTCTTTTAGCATAATATCCTCAAGGTTCATCCTTGTAGTAGCGTTTGACAGGACTGCTTTGTTTCTTGACGCTGAATAATTCTCACTCCCATGTTCACTCTAGCATTATTGACAACATCTGAGAGGTGGAAATGAGCTAAATGTCCATTAATGAATGACTGGACAAGACAAGGGAAACGTAGTGTATGTGTGGGTGTGTATACATATATTCAAACATTATTAAGCTTTTTCTCTTTTAATACATTATCTTATTTAATCTGTGTGTGTGTGTGTGTGTGTGTGTGTGGTTATTCCCATTTTACAGATGATGAAACAAAGGCCCAGTTAAATTAACTGCTCTGTCCAAAGGCAAATACTAAATGAGGGAAGCTTACAGATTCCTGCTTGGCTTAGGCCTGGCCTCACTCAGCCCCTCCTTTGCTCCCACCATCGCACCCCCACCTCCACACAGAAGGCTTAGTGCTCCTCTGCTTGTTTGGCTCCATGCAATCGCACCCATACCAGTGAGCCATAGAGGACGGAGTGCCCATCTGCCTTGCTTAGGAGGTCAGGGACGGGGTGCTAGGCCGCTGTGGAGTGCCAGCACACAGCACTGTGTCTGGCACCTGATAAGCAGGTAATAAGTTTTCAATAAATGTTGGAAGAAAACAATGAATAGGCAGAAGGTGGCTCAGATCTGAACTTTTCCCATCCTGGGAGGACATGCTTCACCCCTGCCCTTGGGTTAACACCAGCCAGAGCTCTTGATTTTCTGATTCATGGGCTTCCCAGAATTTCCTTTATACAACCAGAAAACTCTCAACTTGCCTCTGTCATTTAGTCATTACACACTGGACAATATTCCTCTTGCCTGGTCTTGTTTTGCTGATCCTTGCAGATAAAGGATGGGTGGCCAATAGTAAGAGGAAGCGTAAAGATCCTCGTCAACTAAAAAGGTGTTACCAAGAAGATTATCCTGAGGACTGACACATCTGGACCAGAACCTGGCCTGAGACTCTCTCCAGAGCTCCTTCCTACTCTGCTGGAGTCCCAAGTTTCAGACCCTCATGTGTCACCCACATGAGTTTTGTCTTCTCTAAGGTTAACCACAGTTACTTCTATTTTATTTCCTATTGTATTTTAATTCAATTATTTTTTTTTCACTTTGAAAAGTCTTCCCTCTTTCTGGGTAACACCACATGAAATCATGAGTTAGATGAGCTCCTTGTATTTTTCTAACACACAGCAATATGGGGGAGGTATGTGTGCAAATGCACACAATATCTACATTTTTCAAATATGTATATTCATCTGTATTCCAACTCAGATCACTTTGTGTGCCACTTGGGGGATGTCTGCACAATGCCAAGCTGCCTGCCCTTCTGTGGGCCTGGATTTGGCCACACTCAATGAGTAACTTGGGAAATGAACTGTTGTGCAGGGCTCAGTTAGGAAACCAAACCAAAGAGCCATACTCTTTTTGGATACCAGGCCTGCAGATCCAGCCCAGACCCACATGGACTGGGTATTTCTTGATTTGTGAGTTTTCTAGAAGGGAAGTTTTGCTTAAGAGCTCTAACCCAGAGCTCAATTACCTTTTCTATAAACTGGGGTAAAAAATTATTTGTTAAAAGCAGCAGAAACTGACTCTACCTTAAATAACACATGGCATGCCTTGAGCAGCTTTGGGATCTGGGGGCTTAAAGAATTGAAGGGAATATGAGCAGGCTTGGAATGTGATAGGAAAGTGGGCAGTAGCCGTGGGGCCTCAGAGGGCCAGGCTGCAGGACTCACACAGCAGGCCCCCACCGCGGGAACCGGTTGGTGCATACTTAGTGCTCCCCATGTTCTAGCTGAACCCCCGTCTCTCTTTGCATCACAAGCTCAAAGCTCAAAATCCTGGGAAAGAATGTCTGATGGGCTATGTCAATAGAGGAAAGGGGAAGGGAAAATTAAGCTTTCATTCTATAGTGTGATACACATTCTTTCCATGGTTCTGCACCGATGGGAGCCTTCCCCAAGGGATGTGCAAGGTCTAAGGAACTGGTAGGAAAAAGGAAGGAGGGTGGAGATGCTAGACAGCCAGAGTGGCACCCAGTCCCTGCACTTACCTTTCCAAGCTGCTTTGAGAATTTGAAATAATTTGTACAAAGTGCCAGAGTGCCTAGTATCCAAATAATCAATTCTACTGCCTGGGCAGATATATGGAAAACTTTAAGGAGAGGGAAAAATAGGAACTCCAACTTAAAATAAAATAAAATGGAGTGTCAGTTATCTTCTGGGAGGGCTTGAAAGAGCCAGTATATATACATAGACCTGCATCTTATAAGTTCTCTCTTTTTCAGACCAAGCCACCAATTATGAACAAAGTGGTTTCTAACACAGGACTTCTGCAGACAGAGCCAGTGCACTGGCCTGCTGTTGGAGGCAGCACTTGTATTGCCAAAGGATGTTTAAGTGGAAAACAGCATACCCTCCAAAAATACTGTGTCCTGAGGGAAGAAAGTGGCACTCGGGGCTGTCCTGCCCAGCCAACACTATGACCCAGAAGGCGCACTTCATGGCCCCTAAGAGGTTGGTCTAGGATGGAAAGAAAAATAGATCACAGCAGACCATGTAAAACTAAGGGTTAACCATGTTAAATAACCCTAGACCACATTCCCTTCTGATATATAGAAATGGTGCTTTGGTCAATGTTTTTATCAGAATGAAATAAAAATGGCATCCTTTATTCTTCTAGTCCCCAAATATTTAGTTTATAGTTACTATCTAGCATTTTTAATGCCAGTTTGCAATCTGGGATCCAGATAACTATAAGAATAGCCTATATGTTTGCTAAGGGACAGACTCCGGGGACCCACCCAGGGAGGGATCAGAGCCGGCAGGGCTCAGAGCAACCCACGGGTTTGCATTTCCCCCAAGCTCACCGGCCAGGGAGTTTCTGAGCTGGTGGCCAAGCCTGCCTTCACTCTTCCCTTGCCACGGAGAAGGTTTGCTAGGACAAGTGTTATGAAAATAGGGTTTGTTAAAACAAATAAAATTTCACAGGGAATGTGAAGAAACACTGAATTACAAAACATAGAGTACAGTAAATATTTATGGAAATTTACTCACACAGCTTCTCTTCCCATGAGAATAGTTGTTACACTAGTTAGTAATCATTCTTAGCAGTTTAATAGGCCTCTTAAGGGCCTCAACTAAACAAACAATTTGTTATATTGGCTCAAATTATTGTACTTGTTTAATAACAGTTCCAGCTACTGTGTGCTGAGGGCTCACTTGGTACTCCATATATGGGCCTCATGTACCTGATCACATTTAATTCCCAAGGAATCCCATCACGATGTGATAGTGTAACTCCATTTCACAGCTGAGAAAACCAGGGTTCAGCAAGATCCTGCCCAAGTCCAGTTCAGGATTCAAACCAAGTCTTGGGACTCCAGTCTGTTAACCTCTGCTGTATTTGTTAGCACCATCACGGCATTTTAAAATCATTGTTCTGAGTGTGATACCGCTGTTCTCACACACCCTCCTTGGCATACACCAGATTATCGAGGTTTCTCTGGGGCTTTTCCTGGCTGGGCACTGGTGCCAACATCATGGCCACCATCCCCGTGAGACAGGTGACCACCACCCTGAGGAGGATGAGGAAGCGTCACAAAATGACAATATTCACCTTCAGGCTCTGCTGCCGGAGCCAAAATTAAAGCTTTCTTGGTAGAGAGCAGAGGGGTGAGATGCAGCAAAATTATAAAAATTCATCCTTGACCTAGAAAGTCTACATCTAGACTAATTTATCCTGAAGAAATAATCATGGCTGTATACAGCAATTTAGCTGAAAGAATGCTATTTTTTGAGTTATCTATAATAGTGAAATTTGGAACCAATCTAAATATCCAACCATGGGGGAATTATTGAAATAAATTCTAGTACCTGCAGACAGTGGGACACTCTATAACCATTTAAAAAGCTGCTTTGGGATGATGTTCAACCATGTGGGAAACCGTTCATGATATGTTGTGTGTATTTAAGAAAACACACTAAGAGGTCATAGAGGATTGTATGAAGGGTGTGATCCCATTATAACAATGCCAAAGATTTATTTTAAAGGAAATATTAAGTGTTTGCTTTTTATTCCTGTTTCTTGTTTGTATTTGATTAATATTTTCATAGTGATTGTCTTTTTTTATATATAGAAAAATATCATAACTTGGTTCAAACACTGTAAAATAGGAGGGTAACACGGGGCTTAAATGGATTTGGATGGTGTGTGTGAAGTGTGACTGAATTACAAAACATAGAGTACAGTAAATATTTATGGAAATTTACTCACACAGCTTCTCTTCCCATGAGAATAGTTGTTACACTAGTTAGTAATCATTCTTAGCAGTTTAATAGGCCTCTTAAGGGCCTCAACTAAACAAACAATTTGTTATATTGGCTCAAATTATTGTACTTGTTTAATAACAGTTCCAGCTACTGTGTGCTGAGGGCTCACTTGGTACTCCATATATGGGCCTCATGTACCTGATCACATTTAATTCCCAAGGAATCCCATCACGATGTGATAGTGTAACTCCATTTCACAGCTGAGAAAACCAGGGTTCAGCAAGATCCTGCCCA